GCGCTTCGTGGCCCCATGGGGAGCTCCACCGAAGGCCCTAGTGGCGGTGTCCACTTGCGTCTCCCCCACCCAGCACATCGCTTCGTGGCCCCATGGGGAGCTCCACCGAAGGCCCTAGTGGCGGCGTCCACATGCGTTTGCCCCACCCAGCACAGCGTTTCGCGGCCCATAAGGAGATGCACCTAGGGTTCCAGTGGCGGTGTCCACATGCGTCTCCCCACCCAGCACAGCATTTCGTGGCCCCATAGGGAGCCCCACCGAATGCCCTAGAGGCGGTGTCCACATGCGTCTCCCCCACCCAGCACAGCGTCTCGTGGCGCCATAGGGAGCTCCACCGATGGCCCCCGTGGCGGTGTCCACATGCGTCTCCCCAACCCAGTACAGCACTTCGTGGCGCCATAGGGAGCTCCAACGAATGCCCCAGTGGCGGTGTCCACATGCGTCCACCCACCTAGCGCAGCGTTTCGTGGCCCTATGGGAAGCTCCACCAAAGGCCCGAGTGGCGGTGTCCACATGCGTCTCCCCCACCCAGCACAGCGCTTCGTGGCTTCATAGGGAGCTCCACCGAATGCCCCAGTGGCGATGTCCGCATGCGTCTCCCCAACCCAGTACAGCACTTCGTGGCCCCATCGGGAGCTCCACCGAATGCCCCAGTGGCGGTGTCCACATGCGTCTCTGCCACCCAGCAGAGCGCTTCGTGGCTTCATAGGGAGCTCCAACGAAGGCCCCAGTGGCGGTGTCCACATGCGTATCACCCACCCAGCACGGCGCTCCGGTGCCCCACGGGGAGCTCCTCCGCAGGCCCCAGTGGAACAGTTCACATGTGTTTCCCCTATTCAGTATAGCGTTTCGTGGCCCCCTCGGGAGCTCCACAGAAGGCCCCAGTTGAACAGTTCACATGCGTCTCCCCCACCCAGTGCAGCGCTTCGTGGCGCCATATGTTGCTCCACCGACGGCCCCAATGCGTCACCCCCACCCAGCGCAGCGTTTGGTGGCCCGGAGCTCCACCGAAGACGATACCCACAACTGCGGTATTCACAACTGCATATGGTTGGGTCCTTCGCCAGGCTAATTTGTTAGGGATGGTAGCCCTGTCGCAGCAGGCAATGTGCTGACACCCCCGCCCTCCTTGTCAAAAACAAAACGAAGTGCTCGCGGACCTCGCGGACATGACACAAGACTTGACCCCAAAGTGTGCATTGCTTTGTTTTTGGACAGAGATGGCAGGTGGGGGGGGCGTATCGGGTTGGCCGCGCATGCTCCAAATATGGAGGCAGAAAATGTTTGGTTGGGCTTCTTGAGAGGGACGGTGGGGGATGGGGGGGAGCATGGTGTTCTCATTGTTCCTGGTTGGTTGCCGGTCGCCTGGGGAAGTGGGTGTATATTAATGGGGAGCAGTGCTGCACCCCCAGGCAGGGGAGGGAGGGGGAGAGAAGACGAAGCTCGCTCAACCACCTACGCCCAGAGGGCTGGTGGGATTCTCGGCGCCGCCGAGGCGCTTGACCGCTCGCTCTGCGCGCGCGCGTCTCGCAACACGAGAGGCCCTGCTACGGCCGTGCCAGTGCTGGCAGTTCGGGGTGGATGCCGGGGCAGGCAGGCCGCCGCGCGGGCGGCCAGGGTTCGGCTGGGACTTCCACGCGCGGAGGTGCTGATCGAGCTGCGGCGTGCCGTCGGACGCCTCTGGGGCCACCGCTCTGCGATCGGGGCAACCAGGCAGCTGGCCCGTCGCTCGGGCGTGTGCATTTTTCCTCGTCGAGGGCCCTCGGGCCTTCGGCGAGGGCTTCTGCGAGAACTGCGCGCACGAAGGCACACCATGCACAGGGAATCGACGTCCGAGGGATGGCCACTGTTGCGGCGACATCGAATTTGGCCAGGCTAATCCAGGGCCCAGGGGTGGGCACTGGGTCCTTCCTGGCCCAGCCCGCGGCGCCTGGTCCAAGTCCCAGGAAAGGCGTGGCAGGGCTTGGCGCTATTGCTAGCGTTTTCGGCAGGGTTGCACGAGAAGCCTCGGTGATGGCTGTCTGGGGCCAGGAACTGTTGATTTCGCTCTCGGCCCTGGGAGTCGGCGTGGGAGGACGGGTAGTCGGCATAGGAGGAGGGGGACGAGGAGGAGGAGGAAGAGGAAGAGGAGGAGGAGGAGGAGGAGGAGGAGGAGGATGAGGAGGAGGAGGAGGAAGACGAGGAGGAACGCTCGAGTGGGATGCTGCTCACGCGTGGGCCCCGCGACGCCTTCTCAGGGAAAAAAAAAACAGCCATCCGGCTTTCGGTTCGAAAACCGCTGGGAACCATTGAAAAATGCTAGAAACCGCCAAACACAGCCGATCACCGACAGGAGACCACCCAGGCCGATGAGTAACGATGTGTCCGTGGTCGAAGGCACATCCTTTCCGAAACCCCGCCCCCGTGGCCCTCTTGTTCCCAGCCATCATGTGGTGCAGGGTCTTCGTCTTGAAGGGACAACGCCCCGCGTTTTTGCTCATCTCCTCTCCTCACCTCTCCTTCTCTTCCTCCTCCTCTTCCTCCTCTTTCACCCCTTCCTCCTATCATCATCATCATCATCATCATCATCATCATCATCACCATCATCACCATCATCATCATCATCATCATCATCATCATCATCATCATCATCATCACCATCACCATCACCATCACCATCACCATCACGATCACCATCACCATCATCATCATCATCATCATCACCATCATCATCATCATCATCATCATCGTTGTCATCTTGATCATCATTACCATCACCACTACTGTCATCATAATCCGCATCAGCAGTATCAGCATCAACTTGTTTCGTTTGGCATTTCCGTTGCTTTCCCTCCTTGGGCCATGACTGGCTCTGGGCTGTGTTTGAGCGGTTTGGGTTCCCCGCGGGATTTCGAAATGTGACTTCGGCTTTGTATTTCGCGCCCAGAAGCTATGCCGCTGTCAACGGCGAACAGCAGCTTATGCTCGATCTACAGTCAGGTGTCATGCAAGGATGCCCATTGTCAGGCTCGGTCTGGGCCATCGCAATGAGTCCGATCTTGCAACACTTAAGTGGGGGAGGTTTCGCCGTCGTCGTTGGGTGAGTGTCGTGCGGTCGTGGGAGGATGTGCCTCGTCCAGCCCCGTTTGGCTGATCTGCCGAGAGCGTTTCCAGTCTTTCAAGCAGCCCAGCGCCTGGTCCATCTTCGATTGCAAACAAGGCAATGGTCAGTGCTCAAAACCCTCGCAGGAGGGTGGGCGACTTCTCGCCGTATGCACGTTTGTGGCACCGCAACCTGCCTGCTCGGATGCGCCGATGTGCCCGACGCGATCGCTCATTGCCTCACTTGTCCTGTCATTCGTCGCCTCCCTGACGTCTCCTCCTCGTCTATCCACTTGCTGGGCCTCGCAGCCCCGAGCGAATACAATGCCGCCGATTGTGCGGTGAGCCGTGCCGGAGCATTCACGCTCTGTGTCATGGCGTTCCATGTCTATCACAAGGCCAAGGCCGTGTGCGAGCCTGGCCAGCCACTGCGCACCGAGCAGCGCAATGGCGTCCTAGCAGCAGCCCGTCACGCCACATTCAAGTAGGCTGCTGGTGGACGAACCACGTTGAGGATACGGTCGATCATCATCATCAGCATCATCATCACGTTTCGTGGCCCCATAAGGAGCTCCACCAGAGGTCCCAGTGGCGCAGCCCGCATGCGTCTCCCATGCCCAGGGCAGCGCTTCGTGGCCCCGTAGGGAGCTCCACTTAAGGTCCCAGTGGCGCAGTTCGCATGCGTCCCCCCCCCCCCCCACACACACACACACGCATGCACGCACGCGCACGCATACACACACACACTCACCCACACGAACACGCACGCGCACACGCACGCGCACACGCACACGCACACGCACACGCACACGCACACGCACACGCACACGCACGCACCAACGCACACACACCCACGCACACACACACACACACATTACAGCGTTTCGTGGCCCCAAAAAGAGCTTCGCCTAAGGTCCCAGTGGCGCAGTTCGCATGCGCTCCCCCACCAAGTGCAGCGTTCCGTGGCTCCAGAGGGAGCTCCACCGAAGGTCCCACTAACGCAGTTCGCATGCGCCCCCCCCCCGCCCAGTTCAGCGTTACGCGGCCCGAGAGGGAGCTCCACCGAAGGTCCCAGTGGCACAGTTCGCATGCGCCACCCCCGCCCAGTATTGTGATTTGTGGCCCCAGAGGGATCTCCACCGAAAGTCCCAGTGGCGCAGCTCGCATGCGTCCCCTCCGCGCGGTGCAGCGGTTCGTGGCCCCACAGGGAGCTGCACCGAAGTTCCCAATGGCGCAGTTAGCATGCGTTTCCCCCACCCAGTACGGCGTTTCGTGGCCCATCGGGGGCTCCACGGAAAACGGTTTTCACATCTGTGGTACGCACAACCGCATATGGTTGGGTTCTTCGCCAAGCTAACTTTTCTCCGGGGCTCCCGCCTGCCATGGGGGCCCCGGTGGGCCTCGAAGGAGGCCCTGGTGCAGAACGACAGGTGCCCCTTGCGACGGCCCCTGGCTCTCACAACAGGTGTCGACCTCTTCCTGGCCAGTCATACCAACACGCCGCCAGCTGGCCCCAAAATGTGCATCCGCATGCATCACGGTGACGATGGTGACGATGCAGGCGTCAAGACAGTCTGGCTCGGGCTCCTCGGTGTGGCACCGCTTCGGCTGGATGCAGGCGGACCGGTTTCGTAAAGACGGGACAGTCCAGGAAGCATGTCCTGAGGCGCGGTCGCCCCCTCCCGTCCTTCCCCCCTCTGCCTCCTCCTCCTCCTCCTCCTGCTCCTCCTCCTCCTCCTCCATTCTCTCCTCCATTCTCTCCTCCTCCTCCTCATCATCATCATTCTCCCTTCCTTCCCCCTCTGCCTCAAACCCGTCTCGCTGCCACTCTGCCCCGCGTT